AGGAGGAGGGGGAGGTTAGGGAGCAGTTTATTCGCAATTACGTCTCGTAAAGTACGTCGCGGAATCGAAGATCCATCGCGCGGCGTGATCGGCCGTGATCGGCAACGATCGCGAAACGGAGCGCGATTCTCCGTCTCGTGTGAAAACGATTCGACGACGAGTCGGAATTACACTCGCATCTACCTTACCTTGCCTGCGTCTCTGAATGTTTTCCGCGTTGCACGGCGCGCGAAACCGCAAGAGACGGGATTCCGTGGTCCTCGGCTGCCGCGCGGCTGCGTGCCAGGTGACCTCTCGGCTCTTTCGAAGCGTAATTAAGAAAATCACTCTCATCTGGCTCTCTCCGCGCGCAAGATTCAAATAGCTCGCGATAGCGCGAGACATAACGTGCAAATACGCTTTTCTTTCACTTGGCAGTGCGGAAAATTTGTTTTCTCGTCGGAGATGCTTTCTCCGTGTAGACTTTACATAGATTATGCAGACGCTGTAAAAAAGATATATTTTCCTTGTATAAATATTAAATATAAGCGGAGGTGTTTTTCTCCTCGTAAAGACAATGCGGAGATATCGTTGCCTCGGAGAGATACCTCCCCGTGGAGGAGAAACACTTACGTGCTTTTGTCTTATTCCCGGCTCGTCTCGCAGTGACAATATAATTAATAATTAAGTCGACCGCGCGGCGTGTCAATTTATTCGGCGCTGCTATTTCGAGCATTTCGTTTGCATTGATAAAACGTTTAAACACGATAAATCCTTCCCGCGTGAATATATAGCCGTTGTGTTCTGCGGTGGGGAATTCCCAGCCGTAATATAGGATTTTATTACACAAACATTGTCCAACAAAATTTATTGTGTGATAGACAGGCGAAAAATCGACGTGCTTCGTCTTTCTGTATTTTGCTTCACAAACATTCAAATTTACAGCGTGTTTGGCTGAAGCGCGTATGCGCGACGCATCGAGAATAATGAAGTCCGACTGGTACGATTGCCCATTAAATTATATCCAATCCGACGCGTATCTCATAGCTATGTAAGAACATAGCTATGTGTTTTATGTTCAATGTTGAGATTCTCGCGCGACATCGGTTACGAATATAAGCCGTGTCCCGAAAGATAAACACACCAATAAACGTTACAATTATGAGCAAACGTTACGACAAAGATTAGTTAAAGATTATTTATTAATTTCATCTCGCGCAAATCAGTGTGAATTAATTATATTAATCCAAACACAAAACATTGTGTGTGTTTACATACTTAAATAATACATTGCATCGGATATTGCAAATGTTGGCACTATAGGGCATTGCCGACAATGTAATAACAAGCGGACGGTATGAAAGAGATGGACGAAAGAAAACAGAAAAGAGCGGAATGCCATCGAATCCGCGGGAAGCCGCGGCGAACTGTGTGTTTTTTTAATGAAATTTTCGCCGAAAGAAGAGGACCTTGCGTGTTTGTCAACGAATCTCTATTTTTCAAAGAACGTAATATTTACTGCCACGATCCGCCGCAGAACGCGTGCTTCCCAGATGCTCGCTCGCACATGTCGAAGCTTTTGTCGAGGTCACGAAAAACCGCCATATTGAATCCACTATTTCAGATTTTGCAATTTCGACTGGATTTATTATCAGCAATCCGAAACACATAAATATATCGAATACGACCTTCCTCATAATGTAATAACAAAATTAGTCACTTGGACTTGCCGTCTTGAATTTTGAAATTTCGACCCCGGGTTCGTCACCAGCGATCCGAGAAACCTTCTGTAAGGAAGATTTCATATAAAACCAAAGAGGGATATCAATCTTAATAAATAATCTTCAAAAATTGACGAAATTGACGAATATATAAGAGCCGCCATAATGGATTCGCCATTATAAATTTCTCAAATTTGATTCCGATTGATTTGATTCATAGTCAGCGACTCAAAAAATATAGGTGCGTCAAGTTTGATGTAAATCCATTGAAGATTGGTAGAGCTATTTCATACTGCTCATATGTAAGTCAATACCAGTTGCGGCCTTCTTTTTTCGCTCACATATATGAGTCATTATCGGTGAATTAGTTAAAAACATCCAACTCGAGTCACGCGGTCGCGCCTGCCGTTCTCGGAATCGCGAATCCGCTCTAATTTTATCCTGACTGGCTTTCGGAAGCAACCGTCTCCGTTGTGCTCGTCACCGTCCGTTCGTGTCCCATCTTTTGTTCTCTCCTCTTAACAGCCGCCGTCACGTGTCCAAGAAATACGGAAGAATCTCGCGTCTCGGGAATTCCCCTCGTCGATGTACCGCCCGCGCGCGCGCGCGGAAGCTCACGCGAAAGCTCGGCAAGTCGCGACGCGAGTGCGGAAACGCGCGTGCGAATTTGCGAGCGCGTAACTGGTCGCTACTAAACGTGGCAAATCCGCGACGCGATTTTTGTATTCACTGCACACCGCCAGCGAGATAAGGAAGAGAAATCTGGACTTGAATAAAGATATTCCCTTCCTCCTCGCAGCCGCTCTCTTTCTTCTTCTCCTCCTCCTCCTCCTCCTCCTCCTTCTCTTCCTTTTCCTAGGATTGTGATCGTATGCATAATTTGAGCATGGCCGCGGCGGCGAAAAGTGCGCGTTAACCGTCACCCGAGTTAACTACCCCGCGATGTTAATTTATTCCACCAGGTGGCGCGGATCGATATGCGTATGGCGCTCGTTTCGCGAGCGAATCCCGCCGCGCCGAGCGGACGACGCGCTTTGCGATTCGCGGGCGTTCCGCGCTTCCGGCGCAGGTTTTTTCTTCGCCCGGTCATTCGCGTTCGCCTCGCCTCGCGTCGCAAGGATTCATTATCCGAGAGCTCTTCGTTAACTTTCGCTAACGGGTTCCAACGTCGCCGGCTTGCTTACCGCGGGATAACGGGCCCGGTACCGTCTCCTGTTTCCCGTCCTCTTCGCTCTTTTTCTTTTTCTTTTTCACCCTTAACATGCGCGACACGCGGAAAAATGCCCCGGCGAGTAGTGTGCGCGCAAGGGCCAGCGCCGCGGCACGGCAGTCGTGTGAGCGTGGCTTCGCATGTCGCGATGTACAATTTTATTCGTGATTTTTTTGCGGTTCACCGTCCTTCCAAATGGACGTCCCGCGCGATGGGCGCGCAAGCCGCAGCGCATAAATATTTCGTGCGTCGTTGCGCGGAATAAACTGAAAGTTCTGTATTGTTTTAATTATTTCGCCCGTCAAGAGAGAGAGAGAGAGAGAGAGAGAGAGAGAGAGAGAGAGAGAGAGCGTGCGCGCGCGCGCGCGCCCTTGTTCGGCGATTAATATAATTTGGAATTTACCTCCGCGCACTACCCTCTTGTCCCTCCCGCCGCCATCAACCCCTTTGCCCTCGTTGCGAAACAGTCGTCAGCTAGAGAGTGTCGGGATGCGGGCGAGGGCTGCAGGGGGAGAGGCCGGCGGCAGGAAGGCACCGGTCCTCTCAGGGGCAGAAGGGGGTATCGCGGTATAATGAAAAATGAACATTTTCTCACGGCGGCGACACTTGAGCGATAAATTCCGTAAACTTTCGTCGTGAATATAGCGTGGCGTGCCTCTCTTTCCTTATTATTCTTTCTTTCATTTTTTTTACCTCGCGAAAACTTCTCGCCTGGCAAAGGGGCGAGGGGAGAGAGAGAAAGAGAGAGAGAGAGAGAGAGAGAGAGAGAGAGAGAAGAGGATGGAGCGGAAGGACGGAAACGTTTGTACCGCGATTGTTTCGGCCGGAGCGTGGGAGGTCAGCGGAGAAGCTTGAGGGGGGGAGGCGGGAGGAGGAGAAATATGGCCCTCTGACAAGAGGATGACCGAAGAGAAAAACGAATTAACCAAACGCTCGTCTAACGGATGGTTCGTTCAGGAACGAGCGCTTCGAATGCGTGACGTCTGTCGCTCTCTTTTTCGGTCTCCGCGATCGATCGGACTTGCGGGGAGCAACCTGTCGCGTCGTTTGCCCGCTTGGAAAATTTTCGGTTGTATCGATGAGCGTCGAGGGCGCGCGCGGCGGGGGCAGCAAGGGGCGGGCTGTCCTCGCGACAATTTCCTCCCGCGCGCGCGGGATGCGGATCACGACAAAGGCCGCGACAAAGCGCGGGAAAGCGGCGCGAGAATACGACGGAATATGTAATACCGGAGAGGCGGAGGCTTGTGTTGTCGTCGAGGTTGTTCGTCGAAGCTGCTCCGTTTCCGTCGGCAAAAGCCGGGCTCGGCGATGTTGCGGAAACGTGTCGTCGGCGGGCGAGCTTCGCCGATTGACAAACAGCCCGCCGCGGTCGGCATGCCGAATTAATTACCGTCCGCCCCGAACGACTCGTGCTAGTCGTCGAGTGCTCACAAGGTGGCCGCGAGGGGAGGGAGGAGGAGGGAGAAACGGCCCGACGAGACGTCCAATATTAGATCATTCGCGTTCTACGGCCGATTTTCGGACACGTCGTAGCCGTCACCTCCTCGTCGCGCGGAGGCGAACGCTCGCACATTGAAAATCGGTAGACGGAGATGTGAAGCGAGGTAACCGTGAGCTCTCCGCTCACACACACACACACACACACACACACACACACACATACACATCGACGACAAGAGGAGAGTGAGAAGAGTGCGAGTGCGAGAAACGTTGGAAAGCCGCCTCGAGAGCCGCGACTTTCTCTCGAAGCGGTGATTTTCATCGAATCGCGGCCGCTGTCTCGCTCGCGCGCGCGCGCGCGCGCGCTCGAGATCTCGATTCGCGCGTCGGAGATCTCTCACGCAGCTCACGAAGGGCGAAGGGCGCTACGCTATGAGGGATGCAAAGTGGATTATTCCCGTAGTGTCGTTCCCGTTCGTTCCACCTGAGTAAAGGGAGCGGCGCGCCGGGCTCTCCGTGCGATCTCGTGTGAGAATCCGATATCGGTTTCGGCAGAAGGCGCGCGCTGCATCTCGCGCGCGCGCGCGCGACGATACCGATTATATTGCAGACTTGCGGCTTAACGAGGCGTGTTACCGGTGTGTTTGCAGAATCCCGGCAGCTGATTATCAAGAGCGTCAACGTGCCCGCCGTGGTGAAGGCCGGCGACACCGATTACGTGATCCTCGACTGCGACTACGACCTCGAGAACACGTCGAGCGCGGGCCTCGTCGTAAAATGGTTTTTCAACACCAACGAGCTGGTTTACCAGTGGATTTACGACAGGAACCCTCAGGCGAGCGAGCCCGCCCGGAAATACGTCGACTTAACGTACAAAGCCAGCGACGATCCGTACACCCAGTACCGAGCTATGAAGCTGAATAAGCCGGGCGTCGATCTTACCGGCGAGTACACATGCGTGATATCCACCTTCGAGGATGAGCGAACGGCGAACGCGTCGATGGTGGTTTACTGTAAGTGTCTCTCTCTCCTCCATTCGCCTGAGCATAATGCACCCTACGAACCGCGATCGCGTTCGCGCACGGCTTCTCACACACGGGGCTTTCGCACGCGATCTGCCCTCGCGCGCGAGTCGTCTCGAGAGCGGATAATTTCAGTTCGCCTCAGCTCGACTGATCGTTCAGTTGAATTCGACCTTCGCGAATACGTCCCAACGCGCCCCGCTTGCGTCCACTTGCGCAGCGCGAGGAATTATTTAGTTGGCCCCGAGACACGAAACAATAGAGTGAGAGAGCGAGAGAGAAAGAGCGAGAGCGAGAGAGAGAGAGCGCACGTGTGTATGTGTGCATGAGAGTTAGTTAACCGTCGGATACCGGTATAATACACGATGGATTTTCTTCGTTGCAGCGACGGAGGAAAAGTTCGACCTCGTGTACAAGAAGAAGGCGATAGATGATAAAGATGGAGTCGAAATAACGTGCAGAGCCGAAGGGCTTTTTCCTCAACCGACCCTCGACATCTCCGTCGAGTAAGTACCAATTTGTGAAATATACGGGGGAACGTTTTCGAGACAGAGCGGAGGGAATCTAGCAATTTCGTACAGAAGCGGCAGATTATCGCGTCTATCGCTGCAAATAGACCCGTCCTTTTTTTTCCTTTGCGCGAGACGCGTCTCTCTCGACTTTTTTCTAATTTATTCGAGAGAGGAACCGAGAGAAGGAGAAAGAGAGAAAGTGAGGGAAAGGGGCAGAAAGGGCCGTGTCGAAAAGGGACATTTTAAGCAGAATTGCGCCTTGATATTTCCGCTTTAACTAATTCCTTGTGATTGCGCTGGCATTGCAGGGGCATGCCGGAGAAGCTAGCGAAGAAGCCCATGGTATCGCTGCGTGACGATGGACTGTACGATATCTCATCGCGCGTGGCCTTAGTGGACGAGGATTTACCGGAAGCGACGATTGTCAAATGCTTGCTCGGCATACCGAAGGCGACCTACAACGTTTCCCGCAAAACCGTCTATTACGCCGGTAAGTGATGAGTTTTTGCTTCAATGGGTTTTCATCCGCGACCGAGGAAAGAGAGAACGAGAGAGAGAGAGAGAGAGAGAGAGAGAGAGAGAGAGAGAGAGAGAGAGAGAGATTCTAGAGACGAGTAAAGCACAACGAGACGATTTAAAAAGATTTATACGCATGCACATTCCCCTCTCGGTAGTCGATTACGACGCAATCATTTTCGAAATTCTCCAGCTCCGTCGAAATCGCTCGCGCGATCGATGAGACGCGCTTCCTCCGCGTATGCGCGCGCGACCGCTGCCGACCGAGCAGAACCCTTCCGGGCCCTGACCTTTATATATATTTTTTTTTCTATCAATCAATGCTGCACACAGCACTTCCATGTTCCCGTGCGAAACGCTGGGACGGTCGCCAGAAATTTTTAACCGTGCATACGCTCGCGCCCGTTCCGTTTCTGCTCGAACGGAAGCCTCTCTCTGGCACATTCGAACTTTTAGCGAGACCGGCTTCTGTTCTCTCATTCCTTCTCTCTTTCGCCGTTGAATTTTTCGACACCGTGCGATTCCTCGCGCGTATCTCGCGCGATTCTTGCCGTTTATTCTGCCGCGGACGGTTTTGGCAGCCGTCGCTTGTGCCGTTCTTCATGTTTGAACAGCCCCTGTCTCTCTCTCTCTCTCTCTCTCTCTCTCTCTCTCTCTCTCTCTCTCTCTCTCTCTCTCTCTCTCTCTCTCTCTCTCTCTCTCTCTCTGCTTGATACAGGCGAATTATGAGTTTCCGTTCGGCGAACGCTCGAAACTTCAACGAGCCGTTGGGTAGAATTACGCTCGCGAGCTACCGGAGGCTACCGATCGGGTTTGGGGAAGTTACTTTTGAGAAGTAACGCGTTATCGTTACTCGCTGCCGTTGGCGTTGAAGTTACTCGCAAGAAGCGACGTGTCGTCACGATTTTTCGCTGCTCTTTTTCATTCAATTTCCAAGGCTTCTTTTCAGGATTCTCTCTCTCATCATTCTACGGGCGTGTGTGTGTGTGTGTGTGCGCGCGCGCAAAATAACGGTTATACTCGTTACCGTCGGCCGAAAAAAATGCAATTGCGCCGCCGTCGCCGTTGCTAATGCGAGAAAAGAGGAGAGAGGATATAACGGAACGTTGTTACGAAATCTTTTCTCAGTTAAAGTGACTCGTAACGTCGTTACAAGCGAGCGCGTCAGCACAGCCGAGCCCGCTCCCGATACGGGGAATAAATCTACATTCTAAATATTTGTGCGCCGAAATAAACGACCGGTGCGGCAGCGGGAAAAAGGAGCGCCGTTTCGTCGCGAGCGCGATAATTGTCCGCTTCGGAGGATGATTCACGGCGAAGAAGTGGTCGCTTATCTCGCGCGCGAGTGAACGTGCCACCCACCCTCTAGAAACGCGAGCGCACTGTTCTGTTATTCGCGGCATACGCGCGCAAGATCCCGTGTTAAATGATACGTGTTACCGAGTTGATATCCAGTTTCATCGTGCATTCACGAGCGCACTTTAGAAACGATAAACTCGATACGTTCGACGTAGCGTGGCGACGGCGTGGCGGCGTGAGCATCCACAGCGCGAGCGAGCGTATGTCGCGGTTCCACTGCGACCCTCATAAACTGGCAGACATATCATTTGCATTGTTCACGCCGCGATGACCGATATAACGAGTGAAACGGTGTCCTCGTCCGTGCGATTAAATATACGGTCCCGCGGGTGGTAAAGATCGGGTCAGTTGAGCGCGCGTCCGCGCCCGTCTCGCTTGTTGGAGCGAAAATGGCCGAAACTTTTAGTTGTTTAATTAGAAAGCGGGCCCGACCTCGTTGCGCGATTAAAAATCTGGAAAGTCTTGCTTCCCGTATTCATGCGGGTTCGAAATTCCAGCGAGAGACTGAAAGAGAGAGAGAGAGAGAGAGAGAGAGAGAGAGAGAGAGAGAGAGAGAGAGAGAGAGAGAGAGAGAGAGAGAGAGTGAGAGAGAGAGAGAGAGAGCAACAGAGAGAGAGAGAGAGAGTGAGAGAGAGAGAGAGAGAGAGCGAGCCCGCTTGTATTTTATTCTTAATTACGCGACTGCGCTATTTATTATCATTGTTGTTATTATCATTATTATTATTAAAAGCAGCGCGCGCGACAAAGCGGATTTGTCGCATAGGGTTTTTATATAATTACGCGTGTGCGTGCATTCTCCGTAATTAAAGAAGAAATTCGCGGCGGCGTCACTCGCATATTCATACCGTGCGTAGTAGGTTCAGAAAGTGTCCGCTGCGACATTATTCCTCCATTAAGTTGCAGTTGACCGTATTTCGCGCGTGCGCTCGCGCGAGACGCGGTGTTGCTCCCGCTTTGCCTTTTATAATTCATATACATAATATTAAATTTTTTTTCCTGTCTGTTTATTCACTCGCTATCGCGCGACGCGAAGGAGGGAGGATTAAAATTAATTATATCAGCGGATTAATAAAACCTAACAAGGCAAATTAATCGCGCTAAAACTGTTTCGTGCATTCTAAGGAGGGATTACGGGGGAAATTAAAAGAGGGAGGAGAGCAAACAGGAAGGAAAGTGCAGAAGGGAGGAGGATAAATTCCGACAATCGATCGGCCGCGAGCATCGACAGAGAATCGTGAGAACGACGCGCTGTTTACACGGCAACGCGGCCTGAAAATAAGCGGTGTCTCAGTTCTCGCTCAGTTTTCACGAGTTTTAATGAGAGATCCTCCACGCGTAAGACGACGAATCTCGCGGTGTAAAATGCAGTCGAGAAAGTGACGCGCCTCGAAGAATAGACGGCGCCGGTATTTCTAATAGCGCGCGCTCTCGGTGCCGTTATCGAGTAAACGTATTAGATACTTAACCGGTCCAGGAATTACCGAGATGCGATTCACCGCGCTCACCTGCACTCGACTGGTAACAAGATCTCGTCGTTCGCCCCTACTCGCGTCTACTTGGACGCTGGAGACACGGCAGTGCCTCTCTCGCGAGAAGAGTGTAGCGCGGAACGTCGAGTCTTCTTGCGACTCGTATTCACCCGTTATATACGTTATTGCATGTACTCGGCCGGAAGTATAGTGTGCACGTAGAGTATAGACGAGGTCGCGAGACGAGGTCGCGGGGCCCTTTGTCGTGAGATTTGACGATGACCGAGACGACGATTTTACTGCGCGCGCGATTTTTGCCGTAAGATATCTATGCTCAGCTGACAGCGTGTGACATGTGATATTTGTTGTGCAGGAACGCTTACTACCACATCAACTACCACAACGAAGCTGCACCGTAAAATGGAGGTCCAGGCCTTAGACAAGTCAGAATCTGATAATAGTAGTGGTAAGGCTCTCCCAGATGTGTTCAATTTCTCACATGCGTCCCGTGCAAACTCGCGTCGCCGCGTCATCGAGCCGGCCGCTAAAACCGCGGAGCCGTCATCTGCGCGTCAACGACGCGGCTGACCTGCGTCTGTCTGCCGCGTCGGCGTCGGTGGGAACTCCTTCTTTCGCGGAGGTTACTGCATCGCGGAGAGGATACTGTGACCTCTCAAACGGACAGCCTCCGCGTAAAGATCCTCCCCCGCCCGGCGTATCGTTCTTTTCTCTCCTGTCCGCGCGCGAGCGTTTTCCTCCTCCTCTTATTTTGTATTTTATTTTACGAGCAGCACGCGCTGCCGATAACAAATATTTATCGGCTCTCGGCGTCCTTCTCTCTTCTCTTTTTACGCCGCGCGATAAAATTTCGCCGTTTCGCTATTCACGTCGTCGCGCTAGATTAAAGGAGGACCAGTCGGTCTTCATTTTTTAAGCGCCGAGACGGAAGGAAATGCGCGACGGCGGCTCGTTCGTCGACCATCCTGCCGCAGGAACGTCATCGAGGGTCCTGGCCCTTCCTTCGCAGCAGACTCGACGATAACCTTTCGTCTCGCCGCCGGGAGCATCTATTATTGCGTAACAGTTTCACTTATTAATGTCGCGATGTCGCTAGATTATCGATGGAATATCATTATCTCCCGGTACGATGCGTTGTTAATTATTAACGGAGTCTCGCGCGCGATCTTGCACAGTCGAAGATGATAAGAGAGAAGCTGGGAGGGGGGGGAGGGCGAGGGGAGAAAGAGAAACTCGATCGGGCCCGCATCGGCGAGACGGCGAGACCCGCGAGACGACGAAAACAGACAAACGCGAGGGTGGAAGTGCGAGTATTTTCAGGATGCGCGCTCTCGAATCTCCCGAAGCCGTCGTAGATACGCGATTCCATCGGCGTTAACACCCTCCGGCCGCTTAGGGGAGAAGAAGTCTCGCCGTGAAGCCTCGCAGACTTTGGGCGTCCCCTCGTAATTGTAATTAGAGCACCGTTCCTCTCCGATATAACGCAACCGTATTTGCAACGCATTCGCATTCGGGTTATCGCGCCCGGCGACTTTCCTTTATGCACCGCTAAATGATGCATCACATGGCTGCCCTCGCAACATTAATGTCTTATTTGCACCGCTATTTTTTGCATCGCCAGCTGACGCCGGCTAGAACTTTAATCTTTCATTATATCTTATGCATAAATCATAGCTAGAGCGACGCGGACGTGGCGTGATATATAATCCGAACACGTCGTACGTCGGGTAAGTATCGCTTCGAAAAAAGGAAAGAAAAAAAAAAAAGAAATGGAGAGAAACGACACTCGCGTCCGACAATCGCGTTTCAGTCGGGGACTCGCGGCGCGATGAACGATCCGGATGCACGACGTGAACAATCGTAATGCCGTTGCGACTCGAGTTATCGTCCTCGCCGGCAATATTACTGATTTATTCTTATTTTATTCATTCTTATCGATCGCGACGTACGCGCGATGAAAATGCATCGTTTCTCCCTCTTCTCTCCCTCCCTCCCTCTCTCTCTCTCTCTCTCTCTCTCTCTCTCTCTCTCTCTCTTTTCTATCTTTTTCTCTCCGGTTCTCGCGTTATTTTCGCCGGGAAATTATAGGGACAAGCGGATTTTTAAGATTTTCTCTTTTTCGTCGCAAAAAAGAACTTCCCTCTTCCGTTTACTCTCTAATAAAGTTCGCGTTGGGGGACGGCCGCCGACTATCGGAAACCACGGGTACTCGATAGGTCAAACTGAGAATAATGCCATTTATATCACTGTCAAGCCTTTAATAGTTCTCGAGTTATAAGCGATTGAACATCTAGGCAATCTTACGGAGCAAACTACAGACGATAGGATCTTACTCCTCGTCCGGATGTAACGTAGAAACTTTAATAGAATTTTCATTTGGTAGTCAATCGTGCGAGGAATCACACTTCGAGTCGATCACACGGGCCGATTTGTTTGCCGCGTTCACGTAATGTGACGCAATGTATAATTTTCATATCTTCCCTCATAGTCGAGTTTTGACTGCACTTTTCTCTCTCTCTCTCTCTCTCTCTCTCTCTCTCTCTCACTCTCTCTCTCTCTCGTCCTCTCTACCGTCCTCTCATCTTATTTCAACGTAGTGCAAGTGAACGGAAAATTTGCGATTTTTTTTCCTTCTTTAACCAAATTCGACGATGAGATACGCGTAAGAGTCACGTACGTGCGTGTGCACGTATGTGCGTGCTTAATATCAGTAATAATATTAAGGTAATGTAATATGGCGTGCCTGCTCGTTATCCCGGGAAATTACGGATAATGTAATATTAGAATATCATTTTATGGCTTACATTACTAATTACGATTAATTCGATTGAGCGCACTAATAGTTACGCGAAGCAGTGATAATGTCGCGGAGCGTCACGCGTCGCGGGACCGAGCGCGCACCATCACCTGAGAGATTTCGCGTACGGGTCTCCTCGTAAAAATAAGATCCTCCGCTCGCGCGCGATTGTCCCCCCTCCCCCCCTGTAATTGTTCTCGCGCAGCACGAGACGCGTATGCGACGATAAAAGCGAAATTATTGTCAACCCGCGCGCAATATGCGGATAATGCCGGATAATAGACATTATAATGGACGTTTCGCCTTTAATTATTTGGGATGTCATAACAAAGGATATATTATTTATATGCGGCAACGGGCGAAATGTATTCCAGCAGATATACCTTTGTCGCGATATTTCAAATATTTATTTTGTTAAATCAGTTGGACACAATTCACAAAGAAGGGGACGACGATAAATAAATTCACCCGACGAATGGTAATTAGCCGCGAATGGAGAAATATCCGTATGTAAATTCTTTTCCTTTTTTTTTTTTTTTTTTTTTTTTTTTTTTTTTTTTTTTTTATGAACGTAAACACACACACACACACGCACACGCACACACGAGCCACACGGACGGCCAGTAATGCTCGCGCGATATGGAAGCGCCGACAAAACGGTAAAGAGCGGCGGGAGGGAGCAAAGATGGAACAAGAGTGACCTCAAACAGCGATTAATCCCGTTGTCACGTAAAAAATGTGCACTCTAACAAGAAGTAACACAAATTACGGAATATAAAACATTTGTAAGCAGCATTCGTCGCGAGAAGAAACTTCTTTTGCTGGCGCGTCGTTGCACGCACACAGCGTAAAACGACGGCGCGTTACACACGCACGCCCGCGCGTGCATATATATATATATATATATAGGTAAACTTCCTTTTAAAATAACAATATATTTTTCTCCGAGTTTATTATGTGCATATACGTATGCACATACATCGCACGCACATGTTGCTCGTTTCCATCGGCTTCGGAGACGCTCGCGTCTACTCTCGCCCATTTACTCGTGTCGTTCCGATGTATATTCGTCGGAATAGAAACTTATCACCGGTAGACGCACGGCGCATGCATACGGAGATGAGGCCAGGTCGGCGGTATGTCAGAATTTTCTCGATATCCCGGCGCATAAAACAATAACCATCCCCGTTGTCGTCGAGTGAGCGAACGAGCGAGAGAGTGCGACAACGAGCCGGCGTGGCGCGACGAGGCGCGGCGAGGCGCTGCGAGTGGAGCAGAACGATATTCGTCCGACGGGGCACACAGCCGCGGCGAGACGATAAATGTCAATTCGCGAGGCCCGTTATATGTACATACGCATCGATATTGATTCGCGCGACGTAGAAACGACGGCAGAGGCTTTGCGCGCGCGACTGCCGCTAGTTGACCCCGCGAAAGCGCCCGAAAGCTCATCACACAAGCTCGATGTGGCGCGACGACGACGACGACGACGACGAGGACGACGACGACGACGACGACGACGACGACGACGACGACGACGTGTACATGCGTTGTATACGAAAGTATACGCGGTCATCCTCGTCATAAATCATTCTGTCGGCGTACGCCGTCGTTTTCCGTCAACCGGCGTCGCCGTCGTCGCCAATCTAAGCGACGAGCTCGGTAGACGGGCGACGCTTCGGTAGAAATATTTCGTCGCGCGTGAATGGCAAATACTATATTTACCATTCTTCTCTCGAGTTATGATTTGTTATTTCTGGCGCGTGCTGGTACTCTCTGAAGGGTGGCCAGTGGTCATTTTTGAGCGCGGCGGCCGCGGCGCCATGCCGGCGGCCGCCCGTGTCGGAAAATACAATTCGCGTCCCGGCGACGTAACGCGGCGCGGCGCGGCGCGTGATTCAGACGAATTTGTTTCACGCGTTTTGCGAGGTGTCGTGTGCGAAACATTTGCGCGATCTCCCGGCTCGAAGTAATTCCCGCTACTGTGAGCCGCTATAATAAGATGAGTTCGCCTCGCATTCGCGAGATTTTCCGGCGGACGAGTTGCGAGCGCGAGCGTTGATATTTCTTGTTTATTCGGTGACAATGCGGCGACGTGAGGCTTCATTATTTGACACGGTTGTGCTCTCTCTCTCTCTCTCTCTCTCTCTCTCTCTCTCTCTCTCTCTCTCTCTCTCGGCGAAGTAGTAATTTATATTAAAATTATTACTGTGTCGTCGATTGACGTTTGTAAACACGCGATGCATCGGCGTTGATAAATACAGAATGCGCGCGGTAATATAAGATAATAATACAGAAACGTGACAATAATAATAACAGCCGACAATGCAAACGCGAACTTCTCCCTCCCTCCCTCCCTCCCTCTCTCTCTCTCTCTCTCTCTCTCTCTCTCTCTCTCTCTCTCTCTCTCTCTCTCTCTCTCTCTCTCTCTCTCCCCTCCCTGTCTCTCGTTTTTGTTTGCAGTCTTCTGAAAAATGTATAGACAAACGAAGAGCGGGGAATCTCGAAAGCGCCTTTTAGAGACGCCTTTTAGGGAAGATTCCCGAGACGTGTCTCGAAAACACTTAGGAACGCTATTTCATGCACGTGTAAGTGCGGCTCATTTTCGAGAATATCCTGTTTTTTCTCTCTCCTCCTCTCTTCTTCTTCCT